TTCCTAGTATAAAAACACGCATGCAAGAAGGGGCTATGGGAGATTTTACTCTGCTAATTCTCCATTTTCTCCCATCAACCTTCCAAAAAGTTAGTTCAGAAGTAGACAACATCTGTCTTGAATATGTAGACTTACAGAAGTGGTGCCATGAAGACAGAAACCAACAAGGAACAAATTGCCTCTTTTCATAGCAGCTACCTCAGCTCACCTGAGTTTTCCAGACTTTCCCAAAACATGTTGCTGCAGTCCAGCAAGTCCTGCATCAAACAAGATGATTACATAAATGTTGATGGAGACCTAGAGACAACAGCTGCTCTGCCTGATGCTGCAATGATCACAGACAGCCTGAATGCACATGCTAGGAATAATACTACAGGCATAATTTTAAATATGGATAATTTCTCTCTCTACCATTTCTTCAGGCAGACAGTAGCAAGAATGCTTTGACATTATCTCCAATGACACATTAGGGACTAGGTCACTGTGAGCTGAGCAGGTTGTAAAATAACATCCAACACAGGTGACAGTACACCCAAATCTAATGGACCATTGGCTGAACGCAATTAAGGCACAGCTGTTTCTATACCCAACAGCACACCTGGGATTAGTATCAAATCCAGCTATCTTTGACTTCCAGGCTAGAAAGATCAAGTACCCATTTACAGCCAAGTCAACTGGGCAGTTTTTCATACAAGTTTGGAGTGAGGCTTCACACTCACAGCTTGGGAGCACATCAAGTACCTTAACTACTTGGTTATCACATCTTTCCAACAAGGTAGATGCTCTTCATGTATTATCATCATTACATTATTATAATAATTATTATTATTTACACTTAGAGATGTGTTAGAGTGGTCTGGTTTTGGTACACAAAATAAGCTTGACACCCTAAAATGGCACATATTCCTGAAATGCCATGTAAGAGCACATAGAAAACCAATCCCAATATGTAGTAGTAAAAAATGACATAAATTCAAGAAAAACTGTCCTTTTGACCAACCAGTCTAACCATAGCCTCCACCCCTTAACTTCCAGGAAACAGGTTGGTATCATATGGCTGCTCAATCTCCCATGTCTCCAAATCTCAGCCTCATTCCCTCAGCTGGCTTCTTCCCACTGCACATTAGCAGCTGCCTTTCTAACTTTCCCCAAAATCTCTGCAGTCCAAACACAGACTGACCTCCTACTCCTTGTTTAAAGCCTGTGTAGAGAGGTATTGCCAGGGCTCTAGAATGGCGGTACCCAACTCTTCAGTCACTCACTATGGATGAGTGGCATGGGACCAGTCTGCAGGCTGGATCCCACACACAGGATCAATCCACAGGGCTGATCCAGAACTGATTTGGTGTGTGGCATTAACACACGGGTGTAATCCAAAGCATCAGCACAAACCTGTGTGCTGGCTCTGTCCGTAGTCCAACCCTGTGCACCAGCGTGACTCAGTATCATTGTGATCTGGCACATGGGACGTCACCTAGACCCTGGGGCTCCGTACAGGTCCAAGAGTTGGCCCCAGGGCAGCAGTGGCATTGCTAATTGCTGTGGCTCTGGAGCCCCATGGGCCAGACAACAAAACTCTGTAAACCAGTGGTTAAGCACTACTGTTCTACAGTAAGGAGACGATTCCTAATATATAGTCAGAAAAAAGCTTCAGACAGTTTTATTTTCCCATTGGAACCTCAACTGTAAAGGCACTCTCCACATTTCCACTTACTGCTCTCTCAGACTCTCCAGGTGCAAACATACACCACCTTTGTGCCGTGGCATAAAAACATTTATGGCAGCACAAAGGTGAAGCAAACTGACATCCATACCCCTTGTTGCACCACAAATGGCCAACATGTGGCCCTGAAAAAGATGCCACTATTTAGCCATGTACATCTATTTGCTTTGTGGTGGGACAGCCTGGCAGCCCGTAGCTGCCTGAACTCCCCAGCTGCCCCAGGCATGTGCTCTGTGGGGGCCTAATCCTGCATGGGATTGGGCCCCTCAAGCCCTGGGAGTGCCTCCCCATCTTTCCCCTATTACAGAGATGTGCTCCATGGAAGCCCTGTGAGAACGTCAGCTGCTGTCCCACAAGATCAACAGGAGAAACAATGGGTGATATGTGTTTTTCCCAATTAAGTAGGCCTGTGTGAAGCTTCGGGTGCTGATTTGATTTGAAGGAGATGTGGCCCAATTTGGTGGCTGAATTTCCGAATCAGGAATCGAATCAGGAGACCAATAAAAAGGTCCGAATCAATTCCAAGCTCTCCGAATCAATTCAGAAAAGATTCGGAGCTTCAAAAATTCAGGCATTCCCCACTTGCTACTGCAGGGAGCTGAATCTGAACTTTGTGCTGGTGAGTACGGGCTGGGGGAGGGGAGGCTGGAGGGAACAATGGGGGGACCCCTGCCAGGCCCTATTCCCTGCCTGCTCCCCCAGCCCCCCTGAGTGCCCCACAACCTCCTCCCACTCTCCCAGCCTCCCCCCCCCCCACCCGGCTGCCCCTCCCAGCCCC